AACACCTTTTGCAGAAAAACAGCCCCAGATCATGATACTGCCACCACCAAACTTAACAGTTGGCAACATGTTCTTTGGTAATTAGGCTTCAACGTCCTTCCTCTACACATGATTTCGATAATTATGACCAAACAATTTTATTTTAGTTTCATCTGTCCATAGTACTTTTTCCCAAAACGAATATTCTTTATCCTTATGCTCTCTAACGAATTTTAGCCTAGCGTCTCTGTGTCGTTTCAAGAGGAGTGGTGTCTTCCTTGAGATGCGTGATTTCAGACTGCTTTTGTGTAGTTCTTTACTTATTGTACGCTTGGTTACTTTAATCCCTAATGCACGCAGATGTTCCTGTAGCTCTTCTCGGGTAACCTGTGGATTTTGTTGGATCTGGCGTCCTAATATCCTTGCTGATCTTAGAGAAATCTTTCTCGGAGCACCTGTTCGTCTTTGGTTTTCTACGCTGTTACGAGTTTTATACCTTGCAATGAATGAAACAATTGTAGTAAAAGAAATATTCAGGTTGTTAGAAATCGTTCTGTAACTGTTCCAATCTTTCCAAAGAGAGAAAATGTGTTTTTGTGAAATAGTCAATTCTTTACCTTTAGGCATAATTAGAACCTTCTCGTAAATCTAGAAATTGCAGAATGCTCTGATAATGGCTAATAGCGTTAACCATAATTACTGATAACATTACTGGAACATTCTAGATTATACTTTTTTCATAATTAATAGTTTATTTTATTCTAATAATTGATTTGTACGAATACTTTTTTCACCAGTTAGAATTTTAAAAATGCATTAATTTCTGTTAGAATAAGAATTAAGTTTATTATTATTTTTCAATAGTATGTCTTTATACATAGAATATGCCGAGATTTGTCTTATTTAAGGCTTTTACATTTATAAAAATACAATTTCTCAAGTGTACGAATATTTATTCCCCCCCCTGTACGTTGCTTAGGGATACAAAGAACGAGAACCTTGGAAAAAATTAGACCTAAGGTGACATGGCGCATAAAAAAAGAAAATATATCAATTTGATGTTTTTGTATCGATTATTAGCGCGGAAACAAAATGGCGAATCCAATTAAAATTTACCAGAGAGTTTTGTTCAGTTTCGAGCTGTAACGATTGCGGTTTGGTAAGGCATTAATCCAATTCTTCTTTCCCCACCCCTCAGCTATGTGCCCCAGGCTTGAGCGACCTTTCTCTATGTGCCGTTTACCCTGAAAACTTATAAGCAAAAAATAAAACTAACAGCTGGGGTCAAGAATACGCCGAATGGGGGCCGTGCTGATGGGAAAATTTCCCAAAAGGCGTAATATTTATTGTGCGTATTTCGGCTTTCGTGCAAACCAAACCAAACCTATATCTACGTACTGTACGACTTCCTGATTTTTTAGACAGGAGTAGAGGTTCACCTCTTGTTTTCTTTTTAGGATTAGATATCCAGTTGCTTCTAAAGTCTACGTCAGCTCTATACCCCTATCGTTCCCACCTGGACTCTGAAATTTTATTCTCCAATTAAATATTGACATATTCAAGTTAGAATTAGCTGTCTAACTTTCCTATTATCTTACCCTCTCTTTCGCTAATGCAATTCTACACAGTAATCCTCTGCCTTGAATGGCTCTTGGGCCTTTTATTGGGTGATCATTAGTACAAAAGAAACAACAAAATGTCTACTTAACGTCACATCAAATATAAATGTCTATAGTAGGATTCTTCTTGTATGTGCCGCGTCCCTTTAAAATGCAGTTGATTATGGCTCTCCACAACTTCCTGTCCGTTTTAGATTTTAATGAACATTATTCTTTTCTTATTTCTCTTAAACAAAGTTCCACCATCAATTTACTCAAGCTCACTAAGTATGCTGTGCTGTTTTTCTCTGGCTTTCTTGCCTTCATTTTGTCCTGTGAGCATCAAATTTTCCAAGTCGTCTTTTCTAGAAACACCAGCTGTCTCTTCACGTATAAGTTTCCTTTTTGTTTTCATTGTCTCTAAAACTTCCTCGTTGCTCACATGTTCTGTCCATGCTATTCTCAATATCCTTCTTTAGAACTACAGTTTTAGTTTATCTTTGAGGAAATTGTCCTGCACTGACTGCTATGCAATAAGAAAGACATCACCTTAAAGTTTAGTAATCTTTTCCTTGTTTCTAGCGAAGTTTTTTTTGTTTCTGTTTCTAAGTACTTATCTATTTTTTAGCTTTTGAAATGCATTTGTGACTATTCCAATACCACTTCGGATTTCAGTGTCACACTTTCTGTCCTCTGTTAAAACATTAATCAAATACTTAAATGCCCGCATTTGTTTGATCCTGGTATCTCCGACTTGCAATTCGCACCTTGGTCTCTTCCTTTTGCTAACAACCATGCATTCTGTATTCTTGCAATTGATGTTTAATCCTTTCTTCTGCTTCGCTTTGATTCGCTACCTTCCGTAGGAATTTTTTTTGTTCTCTTTCTGTGTCTTATCAACAGTATATCATCTGCATATCTTATATTATTGAGATTGTGGCCGCCAATATTGAATGCTAGTAGGAAGTCTAGTTTTCTCAGAATCATCTCGCTGTATAGGTTAAATAATACCGGTGAGAAGACACTTCTTTGTCTATTTTTGTATATCTATTGAACTCATTTTCCATCCGTCTGAAGGCGGTTCTGAATTCCAAACACTAGTACTGGCAAATGAAAACCATTCAATTAACCTTCCTAGGAAGTGCTGGTTGTTCACACATATTAAAGATAAAAAGCTATGGTTAGTCATGAACTCCTGTGTCTTTTGAAGGAAGAGGGCATTGTTTTTTAAATAAGGATATATATTTTCTGCTACAGTAAAAAAAATGATTACACGTTCTAAATATTTTTATCGAAGATTTCACTTCTTTCGATTTTCAGCGTTTGCATAAACATACTTTATTTATTATCTTGAAAAGCATTTAATCTAATGGGCTTGAAATCCTGCGGCTAAAACTGGAATAAAATCCAAGCGATATTTTAAAACAAAATGCTTTTGTTGGTGTTCAGGGCTTCCTTTTTTTTTTTCTCTGCTTGAGATACATTTTCATTTCATCGTGTGAAGACATAATCTTTAACACACAAAAAAAAATGTATTTATTATTAATGTATTTATGCATTGAATGGAGTATACGAAATTGAAAGTGTATGAATCTCTAGAAATGAAAATTCTCAAAGAATTAAATGATTTTTCTATTCTGAAGAAAATGATCAGCATTCCGTTCGACGGGTATCTACGCAGGTAATGACAAGTATTAACAGAAGACCTGACTCAATAATTTGCATGTTATCTATCTCCCTCTACCACCCTCCCTCAGACACAGACACATGCAAATATGTACACTGACACATATGAATATACCATTATATTACATCCAACTATATATATATATATATATATATATATATATATATATATATATATATATATATATATATATATATAAACAAACACGTTGTAAAAGATATATAGGAGTGAGCGAGCGTTTTCTACTATTTCCAAATATGTGAATACATTTGGGTTGGCCTCAATCTATGTCAATTGTATTGAGTTGAGCTGTAAATTTTTTTGAAATCTTTACA